TATGATTATATTCGTGAAGGGTGCCTGTGCATACATTACACGCACATTTCCTGGCCTCAATTTGAATAACAACAGTTTAAGCAAATTAATCGATTCACACGATCTTGTCTCAGCTCGGTCGTTACTGTGGTATGTGCATTAAAGTATTTTTACTCGGTAGTTTTTTTTCCTCTTTGTTTTCGTTGTATGTGCGAACTACCAAGCGCTAGGTCACGAGGGACTCTTGGACACTCAAACATCCTCATTATGCATATTTTGTACCTTGCACGTTTAGTTTTAGTTCAGTTAGCGTCCAAGTTCAAGTTGTGCCGTTTCTTGTAAACGAAAAACGCCGATAAAGTTTGTATGTTTTGCTTCTAGATTTTGTACCTTCGGCTTTTGTATTCTATTGTGTCTGCAACATTTGTTCTTTCTTTTAACCATAGAACCGACTCTTGAAGAAACGACATTTTCTTTTTAAACTTGATCAAGACGGAGTGTATCGTCGGTGGACTGATCAAGATTAGCGTGAGATTGGTGTGCGGATCTTATCTCAGCTTAGGTATTTTTCTGAACAGGTTCCCATTGCACATAATAAGGAGAGAGAACAGTGAGTTTCCTTGTTTCACATCGTTTCCCGTGATTTTCCCAAAGGAAGGCCAGGGAGCAAAGAGAGAAAAGTACTTAATTGTACGCGCACACTGCCGCTGAGGAAGACTTTCGAGAAAGGAACAGAAAAATGAAAATTATCAACAGTTGCTGCAAATTCTAGCCAGATGAGTTTACCATGGTGTGATATATTCCGCAAAGAACGATATACTAAAACGCTTTGGAATAACTCACAAAATCTTAAAATCACACCCTCACGAGGTAAGACAGAAATTAACTATTTCCTATTTTTTGGCATTTAGCATTTCAATATTCAGTCACCGCATGAACGCTCCGCAAGATTTTTTTCAATCACAGCCTACGGAAAGGTCTGTTTTTGTGGTTGAGTGGGAGTAATATACAATCTTTTGACTGTCGGACACTTTTATTGATAATCTACGCAGGTTTCTCTTTTCTGTTCTCTATTAAATGGCAAGGAAATTCACTGAAAGTAAATTAAAATGAGAGTTGAAATATTTAAAAAGTTATGATAATTGAAATGTTCGTTCCCTTTACTGGTGCCTGAAATTTTTTCACACATTTTCAATCACACATCAGGTTGAATTTTTTCTATCAAATCACGCATCACGGGTATTTTTTTTAACCAATCACGCGCACGTAAAAAGGAGTAGGTACACTTGGCTAACACTGTAAGATTTCAACCAACGGATGTATTGTTGAAAATTATATTGCATCCACTGATTATATCCTGGAATGAATTGCGTTTCACTTGTCATGTTGCTTTTTGTTAGACAAATAAAGACGATTTACTTGTTGAACTAGACAACCAGGCGGTCGACAAAAAGAACACTGAAGATAGTCCTTGTGCAAATGTTAACTACATGAACTTATGCATATTGTGTTACGATTGTTTGGACCTACCAGGAAGACCAAAGACATCAAAAGTCAGGCGAAGGTCGGCAAATGACCAGAAAACAGCGTGACGGTTGCCACGATTTACTGATCTTTGTCAAGACTCTATTTACTTTGAATGATTGGTTTCCTCTTGGTCAAAGAGCGCTCACTATCACGGAAATCTAATTAGTAAGTCTTGTAGATCACGCGTCACGCACTTGTATGACAGAAAACCACGCATCAAGTGTTGATGTCCGGTCCCGCGTCACGCGGATAATAATTTGGGTTCAGTCACGCGTCACCCTGCAAATTTTGGGGCCATACCACGTCACGCAAAAACCCTTTGCCACCCTCATCTAATCTGGTGGAATGTCTGAGCCGACCTGGATTCCATGGTATTCGGTTATCCTTTCGCCTCCTTCCAACTTTGAATGTGTTTGAAAATTAACACCATAGTTTCATTTAGTGTGGGACAAGTGCACTTGATCTTTTTAAAGTTCTGTTACCGAGCAACTCAACGATCGAACGAAACAGGTGACGGACTTGAATAGCAGACCTGGCACATTGTCGATGTGATGGGAAAGACGGAGTTGTATGCAACCAGGCCCAAGGTTGTAACAGAGCCATCTCAGTGACATGTATGTAGCATGCATTTAAATTTTGGTTAATGGCAATTGAAAAGATATTTTAATTTAATGTTTACTTCTTATTTTGACGCAGTTGTTAACTCGTCATAGCTGGCATTTGTGCCTGGTTTGAGTCCAATTGGTGAATGAGTATTACCCCTTGCAGGGCTGTCAAAGTAGCAGGGAAATAAAAAAAAGTGGCTGGGGTTTTAAGAAGAAGAAAAAAAAGAAATGGGAGGGGTAGAAATGGAGATTCAGGGAACAAAACACCCCGTTGTAGATAGGCACGACAAAACTTTGAAAAGGCTTTGACAATCAATCATAATTTTATTCAGACCAAACAGTTTAAGCTGATATTGACAACACCCTCATGCTGTTCATTGTGGGATTCAGAACAATTTCATCCACCCACTCAAAAAGGGCTTGCGTGACTTGTGACTGACTGATAATGGTTAATGGTGTGACCCATGACTGCATACAGGCAACATTGAATGAGGGAAGGGGAGGGGGGGGGAGCTTGTCAATGATTTTGAGTGTGGTTGAGACAGGAATGTTCCACACATTAATGGGACTCTTCCATTATGTTTCAGCTCATTTTGATGCTGATTGTAGTGTGGATTTGCATCAACTCTCTCTGGTATCAAACATTTATCTTGGTGGTATTCTCCAGCCTATGGAGACATTAAGGCTTATCAAAAGAATGCAAGGGATGAAAAGACACCGTAAGCAGTTTGTCAAAAGGGATATATTTGTAGGCCAAACTCCACCTGCATTACCATAAGCACTTCTAGCCAACAGACCCACATATCCCAGGCATCTATGAAGATGTGGTCCAAAGTTGACCAGGAAAACCTCAAAAAGAAATACAGCTTCAGTGCTAGGTGCATCCTCAAGTTCTATTTCAGACCATGTGCTCTATTATCATCAACAACAAGTTCTACTGTTCAAGGAGGAAGTGATGAAACAACAAAAGCTGAAACTGTGTTTTTTGCACACAAAACAAAGTGGCAGAAGTAGTTGTGAAATCAATTTGGAGACAAGATTACATTTCTTGACGCAATTTACAAGACCATAAGATATGACTTTTCTCTACTCTTTCTGGTTGTTAAAACCAGAGTAAACTGTATAGGGGTGGGCTCTTTCATCATTCAAAGTGAAACAGCAGCTGAACACAAGAACTATCAGCAATCTCCCATGATTAGATTGTTACTTGGAAGCCCTGAGATTTTTTGCAATGCAATCAAGCAAACATTAACAGGTAGGGAATTAATGATGAAGATTAATCAATTGATTAAATGATTAATACACTTTCTTGTGACAACAATAGCAGGAGGTTAATTAAACAATGCACCTGTGTGGTGCTGTAGATTTTCATTATAGATGCATAATTTTTACACTTCATATAACTACACTAAACAACTAACAAAAGTCAAAATAAATGGCACCCTTGTATGCTTTCACAAATCCAGTGTACCACAAATAGACCCCACATACCTGTGACTTTCTCTGTCAGCACTGCTGTTGGGAGAGGCGGCTGAGGAAGACTAAAAATGGAGGTTTTGACTTTGCTGTTGCCAAATCAACATTGAAGGATTAAGTTCAGAAAATGTGGCTTTCCTGCAGGAAAATAGCCTCTGGATTGCTAATCCAAAGCTCAGGAACAAGTTTGATAAAACATAGTTGGTAGAAGCAAAGGTAATGATTATTTCACACTGTTTACATGGTTTAGCACTGCTGGTAGTAAATGGTTTGACATTACTGGTTTATTGAAGAACTTAAGAATGAAATGCATCAACTAAGATTAGGGAAAGTGACCAGCATCTAGTACATGTAATTTCTCCTTGAAATATCACACCTGAATTACTTTAAGGTCACAAGAATAAAGGAAACGATCCTTCACTAAGGAAGTTCTTAATTGTTAAACAAATTCTCTTTGCTAGCACCTTAAGAAATCTGCAGAGAACAGTTTGGATGGAGATTGAGCACACTGACATTAGGATGTAAAGGGCTAAGCTTGTCTTTGGACATTTCTTTTGCAAAGTTGTTCATACCTACAAAGATGTATCAATATTCATTACTATAGTTTGCTTGTTCAGATGCTTGATCTTTGAACCCTGTAGTGATGCCAAGGAAAAATGTTACCCATAAATGGAAAGTTAATAGCCACTGCTGATGTGATTCTTATTAAAGCTTTAACAAAACATGCTTATAACAAAAAAAATATCCATGAAGGTATGGACTTAATTCTGCTCTTCCCTGACCAGACAGGGGTAATGAATTTACCCAGCACAACAGAGGCTTTAAAAAATTCAGAGAAGACATTGGAAAATCATACAACCATTTCAATCTTTGACATATTATTTTTTTTTAATAACTCTTTGTTAGTGTGTGCAGTGGTGTTTATATGGCACCAATCAGATTGCCACATTAGGGTATGTATCTTACACCAATCATGTTACAGCATTTGGATATCATGCACCAATCACAGCATTTGGGTATTGTTTTTTTGTAAAATAATGATGTCACAGAAACAGGGGGTTGTGCACAAATAATAACATTCACCAGAAATTTGGGCTCATTTCATAAGAGTTATGATTTTGGCCTTTGCAAGAGCCTTGTTGATTAAAGTTGAGATTATGGGGATACGAAAGGTTCACATGCACTTATTTTCATTGTATCATTGTTAAGTGAAAATGTGTTTTTCCTCATTTCTTCTCACAACACACATGCCAAACAGCTTATGTTGCATCAACATAAAACTTTTTTTTGTTATATTTGGCAACATTAGGAACACGAAGTTTCCCATCTCAACCTACCCTGCAAAAAATAAGTCTTGCATGCTCTGCGTGCCTGTTTTTTTATTATCAGTAAAGTGACTTTATGTTCCTTGTGTTACCAGTTTTTTATGAAAGTGACAATGAGTGGGAAGATCAGCCTGGCTGAAGCTATGCCAAAAAGACAGAAAAATGATGATGAACAAGTGTCCAGAACAGACCTTGCAAGTAGAGATTCAGTCTTGCTTATAGATGAGATCATCCCTGGCAACAATGATGTGGAATGTAAGTTACTAAGTAAGTAACTTTATTTCAACTTGGGTTAATGAGGCCGATTAGGCCCCTAGCAGTGCATGTTAGGGACCTAAGTAAAGTAAAAGTAAACAATAACAGTAGAGTAATAAAAGTAATAACAGAACAGTAAGTGAAGTAAGACATTACATAGAAGCTGTAGAGGCACATTTTCAAGGAAATTGATGCTATGTTCTTTAGCCTGCTCAAACCATCTCCCGGTAAATGTGTTTATGAAAATATAGCAGTCTATGATTGGAACCTGCACATCATTTATACTAAAGGAAAGATCACTAGAATAGCTTTTTCGAAGAATAATGCATTTACATTTCCCAGGATTGAGCACTATAGCTAATTATCATCAAACCTATGACTTGTGACAGGGGGATCACAATTGATTACAGACTTTACCACTTCAGGATTGTGATCACTTTAAAAACAATTCGGTTATCATCAGCATAGTTGGACAAATTTGCACAATTAAGAAAATAGAACAGATCATTAAGAAATATATTGAAAAGGAGTGGCCCTAAAACCGATCCCAGGGGTACACCCTTAGAGAAAACAACAACATCTGTAGTAACATCTTTTATCCTCATATGCTGGGACCTGTCTCTAATGTAATTGTGTACAAGAGCCAGGCCAGGTGAAGAAACACCATAGGTCATGCAATATCAAATCAAAAGCTTTACTCTGATCCATATAAAACTTGACTTGAAGACATACAAGACTTGACTAGACTTGACTTGATATTGCTTGGAGCAATTTGATGATTGTTAGTTAGTGATTTGAAACATATGCTGTAGTTTACAGAAGGTTCTCTGCCTTTGCGAGGTCCAGGATTAGGACTGATGTCTCTGCTTCTTAGTAGTTCTCTAATGGAAATGTCGAAGTAGCTTTAATTGAGAATCTCAGCCCAGTAAATAAATAATTTCTCCTATGGCAGGCAGTGAAACCAAAATGGCAGATCGTGATGAAGTGTGATATGTTTAAAATTCATCCTTGCAATGTGCTATCAGTGTTGAAACAACCCTCTGAGTCACCCTGAGATGTTAACTAATAACTTGGCTAAAATTGGACATCGTCAGAGACAGTCAGGATGCCAGAAAGAAATAAAAACGTAATAAAATTGGAGGAGGAAGAAAGCACACTTCTAGTTGCCATAATACTCAGCGGTCAAGAATATGTCAAAGAGGTATGTCCCACAGATTACTTTCTCTCTTTTCCTGTAATTACAATTAGCAGAATGTGCAGATGTATGCTGCAATGTTTGGGTGGGCAACGTATTAAATGATGGAAAGGAACAAAATTTAAATTGTGTGTATGAAGGAAGAAAGTATAAGCATGATAGATCCACCCCTACAGGTTCCTCAGCCTGAGAACAAGGAGAGCATCAAGGATGTCCTTCATGGGTTGCTCAATAATGCGAGTGTTAAAAAAACAGTTGGAATGAACACCAGGCAGGGGAACATATGGAAAGATGTTTTAAAACAGGCTCAACGAAATCAGCAATGAAGTGCAAATGACCATGTTAAACTTGCAGTCAATGGAGAACCATCGATAGACAATGGGAAGCAAGGAGAGAGTGCTTCACAGGTATGCCTTTTTGTGCCGTGAATTAATTATGAGACCTAGAAAACTTTGTTGCTGAGTTTCAGGTGACTCAAATTTAAGGAGATTTTGAAAAAAAGATCTCCTTGGAATGAAAGATTTTCTCTCTTTAGAACCTTACTCGTATTGGATGTGTTTGCAATGCTTTTAAAATTTGCATTATTTAGGGATAATGCCCATACAAAACACATGTAGGATGTCAGATGGCTGAAGTTTAAGGAGAATTTGCGAAAAAGATCTTGGAATAAGAGATTTTCTCTTTTTTTTTTTTTTTTTTTTAATTGCAACACGAAGAACACTACTTTACAAAACAAGACGAACACTACTTACAATACCACCTACAAGACGTTACTTATTCTACTTACTATATAATACTTCCTTAGACTGCAATTCTTACCCTACTTTTTACAGTTTTTTTTTTTTTCGCTTACACACCTATGTATCTATTAAATTATAATTCAAAATGGGTTTCCATTTAGCCTCTAGCATCTTCCTATCATTAAACTTAGCCGCAATGTGACATTCAGTTTCATATTTTCTTTTAACTAGTTCCTTATACGAAGGGAAAAAAGGAAGACTATTATTCCTACGGCAATTCCATAAATGTAGCTTACCTAAAACGATTAAGTAATTAAATAAAGAACAATTAGTATCTGTGACACCAATTAAAATAGTCTTTAACTCAAGTTTCCTTTGTTCTTTGGCTATAGCGATCCAATAAGATTCAAATTCTTCCCAAAATGCATGTGAGTAAACACAGTAAAAGAATAAGTGATCAATTGTTTCCGCACTAGTAACCCAAAAAAAAGTGCAAAGATCGCTTTGTATTAAACCTATCTTAGCTAAGCGGGAATTTGTGAATAAAATGTCATTTAGTATTTTAAATTGAAAGCATTGCACATATGTCTTGCAGATACAGGACCTTATTAATGAGAAGGCCTTTTTTGTTTCCACATCATCAATAGAAAATTTAGATTTCAACTTTGTGAAGCCTCTGGACTCTGTCGCCTTACTGGATATAAGCAAACCGTAGAAATCCCTAGACTTGCTAAGTGCTGGATCAAAGATTTTATCATCGATTTTAAATTGCAGTGATCTGACATGATCTTTCTTAATTTCGTGGCATCGAATTCTTAGATGACTTGGTACTGCGCAGCGAACACCAGTCCAGGTCAGAAAGTTGGAATCTTTTAAACCATTACGTTTTGCAAGGTTAAAGGACTCTGTGTTACTCAAATCAAATTTTAAGTCGCTTAAAAGAATAATATTTGCGCTATTATAATTATAATAGAATAAAGGTTTGCCGTTTACTCTAATGTTATGATTGTTCCAGATGATTGTTTCACGTAGACTTACAAGATCAAATTTAGAACGAAAATCTGACCACCAGTGTAACATCTCCTTATAAAATATTGGGGAAATGTTATAGTCATTAATATTATAATCACAATGAAGAAAAAATTCTCCACCAAAAGGTTTTAGTAAATGTAATAGATACGCTTTCCAGGGATAAAATTATCGCTTAGAAATCTTCCAATCCATGAAAGTCGGGTGACATAATTGACGTTGTAAAATCAGTTACCTTTAGGCCACCGAATTCAACATCATTTATTACTGCTGTCCTGGCGATTTTATCAGGACCCTTCCAAAGAAAATTATATATAATTGATTGAAGGGCCTTTATGAACTCCAAAGGAGAAGGAAGAATTGACGAGATGTATAAAACTTTAGGAAGTAGTAAACTCTTAATAATTGTAACTTTACCAAACAGAGAGAGGCCTCTCCAACTCCACAAGCGTATCTGAGATTTAATTCCTTTGAGCTTATCGTAGAAATTCTTTTGCACTGATTCTTCGTTATTGTAACTAAAGTGAACCCCTAAAGCTTTTACAGTTTTACGCCATTTCAATGCTAGAGGTGTTTCGATGTTATTACGGGAAGAGCCAATCCACATTGCTTCGGTTTTGTATAATTCACCTTTAGGCCAGAACATTTTTGGAATTGATCAAGTAACTTAAAAAGGTATTGAGCAGATCTGATATCCGACACAAAAGCTGTTAAATCATCTGCATACTGTACCATTTTGAATTCTTTTTCATCTATTTTAATTCTATCTATTTCTGAACATGAGCGAATAGCGACTGCTAGTAGTTCCATAGCAATGATAAACAAGTAAGGAGAAAGGGGGTCTCCCTGCCTTACACCTCGATTTATTTCAAAGCTAGCTGAGAGCGTTCCATTGTTGATAATACAACTTGTTATGTTACTGTAAAAGGTTTCTATCCATCTTGTAAGACTGGATCCAAATCCAAAGACTTCTAAGCATTTGAACATAAAATTCCACTCCAGACTATCAAAAGCTTTCTCAAAATCTATAAAAAGTAGCAATCCAGGGATTTCATAAGTTTTCGTGTAATCCATTATATCTAGAATTGATCTTGCGGCTTCCCTATGTAGCGACCTGAAACGTACCCAGTTTGATTGCTATGAATGATTTCGGGTAAAACTTTGACAATACGGGTCGCTATAACTTTGGACGCAATTTTGGCGTCGACGTTAGTCAAGGATATTGGCCTCCAATTTTCTAAGTAAGTCCTATCCTTGTCCTGTTTCTCAATAAGAGTAATCACTGCCTGTCTCTGAGATGGGGACATTTCCTTCTTCATAAAAGCTTCATTAAATGAATTAATCAAAGTATCACTAAGTAATGGCCAGAAGTTGTTATAAAATTCAATGGGTAACCCGTCGTTGCCTGGCGTTTTTGCAGTTGGAAAAGTTTTGAGAACGTTCTGGCATTCTTCCGCAGTTATTCTACCCTCACATATTATTCTTGAATCATGTGAAATACTGGGTAAATTTGGACTATCGAAAAAAATCGATGATTCTGCATTATCTAGATTAACATTTCTGCTACGATATAAGTTCTTATAAAATTTGCGTTGTGAATCCATAATCATAAAGGGGTCAGTAGAAATTACACCGCTAATGTGCAGCTTTCTTACATGCTTTTTAACATGGTTGCGTTTCTCGAGATTTAAAAAAATATTTGTTATTCTTTTCACCGTGTTCGTGCCATCGAGCTCTTGCGCGTAGTATAATCCCTTCTACTTTGTCCTCGTACAGTGCTTCAAGATCCTGCTTAGATTTTTCTAGTGCCAGACGCGTATTGTTACAAGGATTTGTGTGAAACATTGGGACTGCCTCCTGATAACGTTTATTTAATTCCTCTTCTTGTTTCCGTCGAATGGAAGCTATTTGTTTGGAGAATATGATGGAGTTTGACCTTATATTAAACTTGATCCAATCCCACAAAAGTCTGGGATCATGTATATCTTTACCTGCATCCAGCCAGGTCGGTAAATTGTTTGTTATCATATGTTTATAATTTTCATTTGCCAATAGAGAAGTGTTTAGTTTCCAGAAGCCAGCTCCTCTTCCACTTGATTCGATTTCTTCAAGTTCTAAAAAAAATAGCGGAATGGTCTGTTTTGATCGAGGGTATGATATCGACCTTAGTTACCAAATCATGTAATTTATCGGATATTAGCCAGTAATCTAGTCGGCAAAATATAAAAAGGTGAACAACGCCCCCAGGTAAAGCTTTGCAATGTTGGGTTTTTTAGGCGCCATATGTCGTGCAGACTGAATTCATTTTGCAATTCATCTATAGAGTTGATTACATATTTTCGAGGAATCGGTAAACCACCTTTTTTGTCAAGTGTGATGTCGAGAGGACAATTAAAATCTCCACCTATAATAATGTTTTCTTCATTACTAAATTCGTCATTTCTTAATAATTTTGATAAATTACGATAAAACTTGACAGCATCGGCGTCTTTGTTTGGGCCATATATGTTTGCAATTATGTATATCTCATTGTTAATAGCAGCTTTTAGAACAATAAACCTGCCATCCGAACTTATTTCACTTTGTTGAATAATAATGTTCAAACTATTCTTTATGAGAATTGCAACACCTCTAGCATTTGTACTGCCGTGTGAAAATAAAATAGAAACGCCCCACTCTTTTCGCCACTGATCCTGTCGTTCTGTTGTGGAATGAGTTTCTTGTAAAAATATTAAATCGGCTTTTTGCTTTCTACACCAGGAAAAAATTGCCCTACGTTTATGAAAGTTGCTTAGGCCTCTAACATTCAAGGAAAGAAATTTGATGCTTTCAGGCTTAGCTTTCGAATTATGCATTCTTAATGCAAGAATAATTAAGTGTTATCACATTTATAATAGGTGCTATTTGCTCGGAAAATGAATAGAATAGCAAAACAAATGTAAAAGTTGATCAGCAGGGATTTGCTAAAGCAAAGGCATAGAAAAAACCAGGAAAGATTTATTACTCGACGTTTCGGGGTCATCGTGACTCCATTATCAAGAGACTAGTTTAAAAACATGCAAATAAGGAAAGGTACAAGAATAGCATAAATTAGAATGAACGGCTTAAACAAACACCTTGGCGCGGATGGAATCCGTTTGCACGTTCAGTGTTGGCTTACGCATGCGAATATACAACATTTCATTAACAAGGCAATCAAATTTGCCGTTACATTTCGCGATGACGTTGAATTGCTCGATCAAGCGTTCAGGCATTTCACTATTGTGCTGGAGGTGGTAGTGTTTGTAAAAGTAGTAAGAGAATAATTTAAGTTTTGAACAAGAAGTACAACACAGACACAAAACAACAACACACAAAATATACAAACAAACGAAAGCGCACTTACCATCTCGGTTGCTGCACACTTTCGCCGAGATCTCCATGGCAAATGGTTGTATTATACTATGGTATTAAAAGTGACAAGCAGTTTTGCCTGCGCCGAAATTGTAAACAAAACTATAAATCATACAGTTCATTTAGCTATAAATACAATTACGCAGTATATAATGACAACAAAACAGCAACATAAGGATTACTCATGTCTGATTTTAAAGGACTTGAGACCTTCAGAATCGATTTCTTTATACAGTATATGCGCGGGAACTGACCATGGGATGAACGCGAACTGGACTCCTTCTCTTTCTTTAAGTTGCTTTAAATGATCTTTCCGTAGTTTGGCTCTTTCACTTCGAACTGATTTTGACACGTCGTCAGATATGAATATCTGACTGTCGCAGAAAGGGTTATCTTTCAGGGTGTTCGCTGCAGCCTTTAAAATTCGTCCTTTATCAGGATATCTAAGTAAGTAGACATGGATAGGCCTTGACTGCGGAGCGGTAGCGCTCGCAGCCGCTTGGTTGATCTTCGTACGGTGCGCTCGCATGACTTCAATATTATCGAGGCCCATGTGCTTACTGAAAAGTTCTTCCTCTAAGAATTCTTCTACGGAGCTGCAATCTTTTTCGGCGCCTTCCTTTAAACCCCATATAACCACGTTGTTCCTCTTGGACCTGTTCTTCAAGTCTTTAATTTTTTTGTTCAGGGCGAGATTTTCTCTATATCTTAACAGTACTGGTTGTGTATGCAATGGTCTCTTTGCAGTGTTTAGAGATAATTCCCAGACAAAACACATGTGGCTTATTTATGGACGTACAGTATTTGTTGAATGTGTGAATAAAATTTTTTCCAAAATCAGATTTGGCATATTGATCTAGGGATAGGGATGTGGGGAGGGTAAATGTTTCCTTAGCAGAAAACTTTTTAACCAGTTTGATTTTTATCTTTGTCATGATATATCTCGACTTAACCTTAAACCAGTAAATCTTTCGAGCTCCATGGACAACGTGACGACAATATCCCAAATGTTTTGTGTTTCCTTCACAGAAATTCTGGATTATGTTGAAAGATCTCTTTTCTCTATGGGTAAACCAACAGATTCTATGGCGGTATTAAATCAAGGGGATTGATGCATAGCTGCTGAGCTGAAAGTTGTGACAATTCTGCTAAGTGAACCTTCACTATCATTTCTTCACCCAGCTGTTATTCAATATTTAAGTCATGGGAGGCTATCATCATTTAATCATGAGAGCTAGCACTCTAAAAGGAGCAGCATTGAAGGTAAATAAATAAAGAATTGGTTTTGCCATTGTTTTTAGAGGGGTACCAAATATTTATCAGCCATGATTCATTTCATAAATTCTTTACATACTTTCCAAAATGAAATGCATGAAAAAGTCATTATTCATGGCTAATTATTATTGAGTAGGGTTATTTGAGTTATCCCTTATCAAATCAAGTTATATGGACCATATATGGCCCAAGCATGGTAATGGTATGGTATGACCTATGGCCCTGCTATGGGTAGTATATGGATTTTGTATGGGTTATTGCTTTCCATATCAAACCCATAGATGGCAGTATCTCCCTAGGATTTTAATTCTAATGTCTTTAATATAGGATTGCTATGTATTTGGTACTGCCCCATACATTCCCCATAGTTTTTAGTATGGGAATGATATGGTTTCACACCATAGCAAAACCATGGGAATGCTATGTATATCGCACCATCCCATACCATTCCCATATCATCCAAGCAAAGGGCGATCTGATATGGGAATGTTCTCACCCTGTTACACCATTCCCATATCATCTCATTGGCGTACTACTGTCGGTATGGGAATGCTATGGGTGGTGATAAAGCACCATACCATTCCCACATTATCCAAGCATACTGCCACTGATATGGGATTACTATGGGTGGTAAAACACCATCATCAAGATGTAAAAATGGCATATGATATTGAAATGATATGGATATTTTGGATTCCTGCTCCATTGTCTGTATATGGCTAAAACTGCAGAAATATAAATATATAAACGTGAACTATGGTACAGTGGAACTGTTACAATAAGATTAGAAGTAGCAGTAAGTTTGTCCTTAGAATTATCAATACATTTTTGTTTGTTGTGGTATGACGGCTTCTTGGTGGCCTTCTTACCTCCACACACTTCATATTTATTTTCTGGACAACTTGGCTTGGTGTTAGTTCTTCTTTTGAAAACTTAAAACAAACTTTTCCCAGAAATATTTGCAATAACATTGTTAAAAAAATGTACTTTAGACCACTTCAGAAATTGGAAGAGTTGTATATATGTTTGGAGAGAAGCGCCTAATGTTAATAAGGTTTGCCAGTGTTTTTGGTCACTTATGTCTAGGATTGAATGCAGGTATTGTTCAATTACTACTGCATATTTGTCTAGGTTATTTGTAATTTTCATATTACTTCATATTTGACACAGCATTATGTGTGTTTTAGTGAACTTTTATCAGTGAGGACACTTTGTGGTGCTTATCATAAATAGCTTGCATCTCATTAGTGGTCAATCCTGGATATATCTCTGTCAACTATACATGTTTAATACTGTTATTAAACATGTCTACTTGACAATCTTGTCATTGTCAATAACTGTTAAGCCTCCTGTGGAGTTTCTCTAATCGTTTTCTTTAATGCCACATTTTAAAGGTTCTGTTCTCTGCAACCATTTGCCACAAGATCCACCTTGATCAGTCACACTTCTTGTGCAATCTTCATCTGATTCCTCAGAAATTTCATCCTTGCTGATATACCTCTGAGACCAATGCTTACATGTATGAACACCTTTGCACATGATTTGTCTGCTTATCTAGCTAACATCTTGTCTTCCCTAACAAGTTACTTAGATTTTATGGTGTTCAACTTTGTCCACTTTTATCTGCCAGAAGTGGTGAATGATTCAAGAAAGCAAGATCATTGAGCTCTTTGATTCAGAATTGTTTTCTACGAACATTCTGATTGACATAGCTTCACAAGCCAGCTTGGCAGAAAGTGGAGAATGATCTAAGCCTACCCAACTGCATAACACAAACATCTATGGTCAAATCAAGGACCTCCTGAACTTTTAAGGAGACCTGCACACCTCCAGGACAATGAATCAACTATGAAAGAAGGGGCAGCAATGGGGAGTCCCCTTTCTGCTGTTGTTCCTAACCTCCACATGGAGAGTTTTGAAGAATAAGTGGTAACATCATCACCCTTAAAACCTACATGTAGGATCTGGAAACATTACATAGACGACACCTAGCTGGTAGCACATTATAGTGTAGAAAGCTTCCTACAGCATTTAAACCACAAACAACCTTCCATTTGCTTCACTATGGAGACAGAAAACTACAACAAACTGACCCTCCTCAACACCACAGGTACAAGAGAACCAGGTGGATGCCTTACCTCCAGTGTATATAGGAAGCCAACACATGCTTACCAACACTCAGCATACGATTCAAACCACTGACAATCAATATTATTGATTAAGGTTGCAGATCTTATAGTAATATGTGTTGGTTGCAAACTATAGGGAAGAAGAAAATAAGAGTTCAGTATTAGCAGGAAATTGTTGGATTATGGATGGCTTTCACAGTTTAATAGGTTAATATTAAAGTCTCCCATAAGGAAGATATTCTTATTTTCTCTTGATAACTGAGATAAAATTGTCTCAAAATGTTCCTTAAACCTTACATGATTGAAAGACGGGTGACTATAGGCACAACAGTAAAGGATGTTTTTAGCTTTAATATTCGTAATTTGGTTTCAAATTCATCATCAACTACACTCGGGTCAGTTTTTTTGAAGGCATTTGGAGATCTACTTGTGTAAATTGCCACACAACTGACAGCAGATCTGGGGGATTGGGAATGTTGTGTGAAACCATCCAGATCAACATTCATTTTAAAACCTGTATTAAAGTTTTCCCTGGTTTCACTTGCACCTATTACATGAAAATAAAAATTCAAAGATGCAAGTGTAGTCTGTAGATCACCTAGATGGGCATTAAGACTATTCAAAATGATATGAAATGAGAAGAAATTAGTTGTTGAAGATGACAAGGTCAGTTTCTCAAAATCTGATGGGTAACAGTACTTAGAATTTAGGATTAGGTATGTTTGACTCAATATCAGAACTATCTAAACTACTAAGGCCAGATATTTTGGACATTATATCAAGGGAAGGCAGTAGTTCAATGTCAGAGGGTTTCCTACAATTCATCAGAGTATTTTAAGCATTGGCCACAAGGAAACTTTCTGTTACACAATTTAGGTGACAGCTGTTCATATAGAAATAAATAAGTCTGTACATGCATGAGTTCAACCACTAGATGAAGAAGAAAAGGCCATTGAACTCAAACCATTTGGTCTATCTTTAATCACCAGTTTATCGAGGGAGAAGTAGGCAATCTTCTCGCGAGCCTTAGCTTGGTTAAGCTCTCCTCTTCCCCATTGTCTCCTCAGCCAGATCTTCAAAGATGTGAATTCCCTCGGGCTTTATTCTCCTTGTTGTCTTACGAATGAACTCCTTCGCTTTGTAGCTGGTGAATTTGCAGACAACCATTCTAGGCTTTAGCATTCCATGCTGTCTTCTTGGGCAGCTGATGCGATGAACACATTTAATTTCAGGAGCCAACTAAAAATTAAGTTTGTCGATAAGGAGGTTCTTCACTTTTTCTTTGGTTTCTTGTCAGCTTTCACCATCATCCTCCATTAATCCTTCAAAACGGAGATTGTTCCTCCTACTTTGATTTTCCAGGTAGACAGTCTTCTGAAGATGTTTGTTGGCAGTTGTCTGAAGACTAGAGACACCCGTGTTGATTTACTTGATCTTTTCTTCATGGCTTGAGATATTCCGTTGGCTGAATTGCAAACTGGCCTGAAGATCAGCAACATCCTCGACCAGATCATCCATTCATGAGGGTTATACTCACAACAACGGATTCCATAAATGACTTCATGATGTGTTCCTGAGCTCTAAGAGGTTCTTGAGAAACACTCAAAGATATCTCTGGCAGATCACGATCGTGACTTTTATTGGCCTCTGCAGATAGGGAGCCTTCTTTCCTTTGATTTTTTCATTTTTGGGCATCATAAAGTAGTTATAATTGAAGTAGCAGCCATGTGACAGGAGACCACTGAGAACTGTGGAATTCTATCCAGTCACAGCTGAGCACAACAGTTTATTGGTGACACAAACTCAATCGAAATCATCACCTGCTAAAGAATAGAAGTATGCAGTCAAAATGTCACAATCCACATGTGTAGTGACATACATACATACATCTCCAAGGTCTTTAACCGATTGAGCCAGGTTAATGTCTTTTCCTAGAAAGTCTTTGTCTTTCTCGAATTTTAAGATATTAGTTTCATGTCTGATATTTAAGAGTAATATATTCCGTAATGTGGGTGAGGCCACAGAAAAGGCTCTGTATCTCAATATGTTCTTCGAAGGAAGGTTGAACTAACAACAACTACTTGTCTGAACTCAAGTGGTGTAACTGCCACTGGTGACTATACTAACTAATTCTAGCAATTTAAAACGCGAACGGTACACGGTACGGTTAAAACTGCAAATAAAACAGCGAACGAAAACTATTACAATATAAACTAGACTAAATACACAAGGAAAGCTACAACGAGAACAACGAATAAAACTACATGATACAAAACTTACATTTGTTGCGATGTTAAAGATCCTGCCTAGTGGCGAACAAACAGCATGAAGCGAAAAGAACAAATATACCAAACCACACTCGACGAAACTACACTGCAAAACTGCCCCAAACTACGATGAACAATACGGTTAAATACGCGCTACATTACGCAACGTTACGCGATAACACAAAGGAAGCGCACACAAAATTTTACTACAATTAGCACTCTTGCACAAGAACAATAAACGAAAAAGAATGTAAGCCGTTGCGATCTACAAGTGGTATGGAGATTTCTTCTTCACTGAAACCAAATTCATGATATAGGTAGGTGCCAGTCCATGAATGGTCTTGAATGTAGCCACGTAGCCAATTTAGCTCTTGTAATACTGGCATGATGTGACAATAACCTGAAGAGTTGCTAACAAGTCTAGCAGACATGTTCTGTACTCTCTGTAACTTATGGATTTGAATGTTAGAGGGAACAATAAAGAAGGCTGTCGCAGTAGTCATCCATCCAATTACCACTGCATGGACCAAGGTTCATGTAAATTCATGTGTGATGTACTTTTGGATCCTTGGAATGTTATGCTGGTGGTGATATGCTGCATTACATATTTTGGTAATGTGGGTATCCAGTTTCAAGTGTGAGTCTAGCCAAACCCCAAGATTCTTTGCAGTACTTACTGGGATAATCTCTATTGTTTTCATAGCATCTTGTTCCATTCTGCATAATTAAGCTACCATTATTACAGATGTTATCACAGATAACTTTAATTCAATAAATGATAAAACATTTTACGGGATAGGGATTAAATATAAGTTTTGGGATAGCTAAATTCATGGGCAATGAGTACTTAGTGAAATCTTTACAATAGTATGCTAAAGCCCAGGAATTTAATGAGATGATGAATTCAAGGGGTCTTAAAAATAAGATCATATTCATGACCCATGAAAATGACTTGTTACAAATGCGTCTACTTGTGTGTGCAGCATCTAATAATCTACATGAGAATTCTCATCAACTTCTCATCCTACGTGCTCTGTATTTAACTTAATAAGGAACAAGAAAGGTAAAAAAATGACATCTCCCTCAGCAAATTACAATTGAAACTAGAGCTTTGAAACTGTTTTTATTGTTAGAAGTGTGTGGCTGCAAATAGCCAGAATCAAAATGAATCAACATTTCAAATTAAAGTTAAATTTATCTAGAATATTTGAATTGTAAAAATAAACATTGATATAGCTTTTAAAACTATGCACATATTCAAACGTGCACTGCATTACTTCAAGTATTATAAACTAGCAGTGAATGCTTTCCTAAAAAGAAATTCTTAGAGATATTTCTTAAAAGTAGCTAGGCCTCTACCGGATCCGATTGGTAATGGCATTTACCAAAAAAAAATTAATGCATAACAAAAATTAAAATGATGTACAAACACATTGTTTGTAATATTTTATTTCAGGTTACTTTTTTCTGTTACTTTTGTTAGAAACAATAATGTCTCTGGTAATTGACATTGGGGAAATTGGATGACAATCTGTAGTATGTCGACAAAGCAGTTTCGTTGTCATGTAAATCTATATGAATATTGGAGCTTCTCATCCCAGAATATTCCTAATCAGCTCTTGCTGCGGGAAATGGAGTTAAACACTGGTCTGATCAGCCATATTTCTGGTGAACAGGCTTACTCTTACCTGTACCACCGTAATATTCATGTGTTAGGAACCACATGGCATATTCCTAGGTTGCAAATGTTAAAGGTGGTGAAACATTAGAAAGAAGCATCACAGTTCTTTTTTCTGTCAATTCTCTGCCCACCATAGACCAAATGTGAAGTCAAATTGTTCTACCTTAAATACATTAAGAGCTGTCCATGGGAATTCTTTTGAGGCAAAGATTTCTTCATGAAGTTGCTCAATTTCTCCAAACTTGCTCTTTTTTGATTCACAGTTGGAAAATGAACAATACGTGCTCTTCGTTTTTGTCGTTGGTTGAACACATACAGGCATTTACGGGAGAATTCTGCTTTGCTTCAGAGCTGTTTTTTGAAAACATTAAAGCTACTGTTTGTTACTGTTTGGAGAGCAATTAAACCTCTTCATAGTGTGGTTCCGACTGACCTCCTTGAGGTCTCCATTATGAAAGGGATCGATAAATATAAAGTATGTAGTATAATAAATAATGACAAAAAACAAGTTCGAGAAAAGTTAAAACATTTTAACAAGTCTGGTTCTATGAATGCAATTTTGAGTTAATAATGTTTACAGGTTGAAATTAAAAATTTATTTTGTATACTAATTTATTAGCAGCATTTATCTAGACTGGCAAGCTGGATTGATTGGGAACCTGCAGGAAATAATTTAAATATTCAAAATATGTAGAGCAATGTAAAGTGCAGAAAAGTTCTACAGCAAGCTTAAATTGAATTGGAAAGTGTTAAAATGGTATAAGTAAAGCAAAGTAGATGTAGAAATATCAAATGCAGAACGAGTCCTCAAAAAATTACAAGATGTTCATTACGATGCATATTATATTAATTACAAATTGAATTTTTTAAAAAATGAGAATAAAAACATTACAACAAAACAAATGGCATTATTATCTACAAAAGCTAGAATCCACTATACAGCAATACCTATGGAAACCAAACAAGGTTAGGAGAGGCTATTCCATTGTTCTCGCTTACAGCCTTGAGTGAAGAAGAAAACTTACCTTGGTCTGGGATGGACTTTTGTAATGTTATACGAAACGAACTTGTGGATGAGAAGGATAGGTTCTGTATTGTTGGACTTTATCTTGACGACACTGAGCCAAAACTAGGGTACACGTGTTGAACTAGTTGCAAAGACTACAAAGGACTCCAAATCATCGTTAACTAGTTTGCGAAGTACTATTTCAAAATGGAGTGTGAGGGAAATTTCCCAATGATGACAAAAGCTAACTAAATTTACCCATTATAAAGTAGTCTGTTGTTTGTGTAGTATTTAGGGTGAGGTTGGAATTGATGATTACTGGCAGTTGTGCAATACATCTGATCCTGTCCAAATTTTTTTCCCAATGTTAGGCAGTTAACCGTACTGACAACTCTGTCAAAAACAATTGAGCATGGGTCATGGATGATGTATTTCTTTTAACCAGCTGAGATTGTGGTGTTGGTTCATATGACCTTCCCTATTCTAAGAAACCTAGTGTTTGTTAGTTTTCTGTTTTGCTTTCTTTTTCTATAGTAAAAACATTTTTGAATGCTTAAAATGTGATCAAACTGAATGGTGAATGGCTACATGTCTGCAGACTGCTATGTAACAGACTGCATCGTGGGGCAATTGGAGTTGCACAGATACTTTAGTCAGGATACATTCATGATCTTGAAGTTATTTATATTTTGAACTTGTAAGACTGTGTAGAGATACATTTTTGGTACTTTCCTTAATTGTCCTGTAGTCCGATGTCTTAAATTAGTAACTGTGGTTGTTTGTACATGTTTTAAAATCAGCAGCAAAAGCCTCTCTTGATAAATGTATACACCTAAACTAATAAAGTGTTATTTTAAACTGTCAGAATTTTCTTTTTGATAACTGAATTTGAAGAAATTCACGATTGTTTCTCTAGAGATATATTTTAGTTAAATTTAATAACTAGGAAGACGAAACTTAAGTGAAAGTAGCAAACTGTGAATGCTTTGAATGGCTTCTGCTTCTCATTTCTTCCCTAATAGTCATTGTGAAATTTTGATGGTTACAATGGTGGTCATAGTGTTACTGTACGGCTGCTGTATTGTTTTAATGCTCTGAAGGCTTTTTGAATCTTTCAAAAGGTGTTTATAAGGAAAGGTGAACAAAAAAAATTGATTCAATCCTTTTGATTATTTCTTATAATTTTATTTATGACCATTTTTCTTATTATTACCTCATTAAATTGGAAAGTTGAGACAGTGGCAGTGAACCCTAATAGCAAAAACTGGTCGCCTTGTACACTTGCTGTGAAAATGGACCCACTGGTGTTGTATCTTGCCACATAACTGGTCATCCAACAAAGCCCAACCATTACCAATTTTTGATGGGAGCAGCTGTTGTACTTCGGTGCAAGCTTGTGGTGCAAGCAGTGCAGTGAGATCATGTGTGGATTTATTTTCTTTAGATGACTGGCAATGCCACTAAAGTGACCACTAAACAGTGTTGCATTTTCAGCTACAGTCTGTCACCTCTAGAAAGAGCTTATTTTTTCGAGTTGTGAGGAGTGTTAAAGTGGTTTTTGCATTGGCTATTTGTTGTTTTTCAGAACACTTTCAATCCACAAGGAATGTGTTTCAATGTTCTCTGTTTTGTTTCAAGGAAAGGTACATTTGTGACCTAAGCAGTTAGGAGACCAAAGCAATTTGCACTTTATACCTTCTCCAACAAGTTGTCATCAAGAGAGAGCTGCTCAGTACCAAAAATATTTCCCCAGTGGAACACAGTGCTAATTACTGGAAATTCTTCATCTCATGAAGATCAAACAATTTCTGTCTGAGAAATTTGGATTTCACACTTTCCCTTTGACAAGCCAGTATGCTGTGCTATGTGCCTTAAATATGAGGTCATCCCTGTCAAGTTTCTTTTTTTTTTAATATAATAATAATTATAATAATTATAATAATAATAAAGTTTTTTGGGCACTTTTAGAAGATGCAATGTGCTTACATTACTATATAGAAAGAATAAATTAGTTAAAACTTACGAAATTGTTCTCATAATAGTAATAATTAAAATAAATGAAATAATTAATAAATAAATAGGTGACATGAAAAGTAGGTACAGTTCCTCCTAAAAGAAATCAAAAATTAAATTTTCAAAAGAATGTTTTGAGGGCAGATTTAAAAGATCAGAGATATTGTATTTTTAACCGAATCCGGTGGACTATTTGATAGAATAGGTACGGAGAAAGAAAAAGTACGTGCACTGTATGTCACAGAGTTCACAGTTGGGACAGGAAAAAGTTGTTTAGAGTGTAGGTTTTGTTGCGGATGTTATTGTTATTGGAGGGACGACAAGTAGGCTGGACAAAATCCATGGGTAATCTTGAAAGTGATGAGCAGAACTCTGATTATAATCCATGACTCAACAAGTAGCCTGCAGTGTAGTTCTCGAAGGGCAGTTTTGATGAACTGGTATCATTTAGTTCTAGTGATAAGACGTGCTGCAGTGTTTTGAATTCTTTAATGTTTATCCAGTTCCTGTTTTGGGAGACCATAAAGGATACTACTGCAGAAGTCCAGACGCAATATTACTGGTGCATTACAGAATAAGGGAAAATTTTTGAAATCCACTTGTCCATAGGACAACCATCATAGAGAATTTGGTTGTCCGAGACCCAAAAGTGCTTGTCCAAAAAGATTTGTTCAAACCAGTTTTAGAAATAAAATCAATTCAAAGTGTGGCTTTTCGTGTATTTTAATTTATAGCAACGTTAATTGTGAACTATTTACAAGGATACAAATGTTATTAAAGATGAAAAAAAAAACCGAACATTTTCGACTTTATTACAAGTAACTCACCTTATACCCTGCAGATACGATGACTTAATTGACTAAAAAACATTCAGGTGTTTTTTTCTTTTTAATGACATTTTAAGCCTTGTAAGTAATTTTTTCTTCTAAACCTAAAGTGAATATCATGCACATCGAACTTGTGTGGCACAAAATAGCCTGCTTAAATCGTAAATCCTTCTTTTATTTAAATCACCATCCGCAAGCAAGTCTGACTGTTTAGTTGAGATTAAGAATGATTCAACAATGTCATCACTCGATTTCTTCCTCATCAACAACAAGGTGTGGCAATGGGGGCAGCGACATATTGTCATCCTCCTGTTGTTCTTGCTCCACTTCTCTTCCATCATTAGTGTCACTATGGATAGCAGAAGGAGAAGTAACATTGGGTTTTGACAAAATGTGCCGCTTTGTTTAAGCCTTTAAGAGCCACGGATCAATTTCAGAATCTGGGTCAAACTCTTTCAGCACTATGCCTTGGTCTTTAACTCGTAAGAGGTTGCTCAATGTTCCCTGCTGAATTCTTGTTTTCAGCACTGTTTTCAGCCGATTCATCGCTGAGAATGACCTTTCACATGTGGCAGTTGTTGGTGAGATAGTGATCGTGAGCTTAACCAACACAAGAACGTTATTTAGGTCATTTTGGTTAAGTGCAAGCAGGGATGCATACACATCACTTGGTTTCAATGCTCTCTGTGTAGCCAAGAAGCTCTTCAATTCCTGCCACTCTTTAACCGCTCCATCTTTTTCTTCTTGGTAAAGAAGTGGGGCAAAATAATCAACTAGCCTTTGGACCTCCTCGTTACCATAAGCAGCTCTTTATCCTCTTTGAACAGGGAAATTTCTGTAATCAAAAACAGTGAAATCAGAGAGAGGTGGGCTGCTGAGGCTGGCAAACCTTTTTTCAAGATAGTTAATGATATCAGTCCAAAATCTTAAAAAAAGCTCACGGAGATCTGTACTTTGGCTATTATCTTTCAATGAAACTTCTTGGCTATTGTTTTTTTCCATTCAGTAGGATCTTTTTCTCCTCATCGTAGCTGCTCTTAAACTTAGTTTGGAACTTCGACAACTCTGTGAGAGGCTTGTAATTCTTTAACAGCTCCAAGTTTGCTATGGCTGTCAAGTTTTCTGGCAACATCGGTGATGAAAAGATCAGCTCTTTGGAAACTTTCACTCAGTTCCTTTAAAACTGCAGTGACATCTAACATGAAGTAAAGGAATCTTGCAAATTACCCTGTTGTGATTTGCTTTAATATTCCCTTGGCTTTGGCTGCATCTTCACCTTTCCCACTGCTCACCTGCTCCAAGTGTGTGACTATCATAGAAGATATTTTTCCATAGCAGCGAGAACCCTATGTCTGCTAGACAGCAACCTTGTCTTCTTGATGTTAATGTTGAAATGAGCTGGATTTTCATCAAGGATTTCTGATACTGCATTGACTTCTCTTCTTTTCTTGGGTGAATAATAGTCAAACTTGAAAACTTGCCTAATAGTTTCATGAAAAGTTTCAAGGTAGGGAACAGTTTTAACTGCATGTAAAACAGCAAGCTCAAGGTTATGAGCAACACAGTGTAAAATCACAACTGGCTGTGGAACTTTTTGTATTTGCACGACAACGCCTGACTTCTTGCCCAAAATTGCACCCAACTAACTTCTTTTTCAGTGTTTCTTGGTCAATGTCAATAGTCTCCAAGCTGGTTGTAACTGCGTTACAAACTCCATCTGGAGTTGCAGATTCAAGGGGAACAATGTCAACAAATTTTGTCCATAGCTGTCCTTGTTTGTCCACATAACGTACGAACACTGTCTCTTGTTCAATAATTCCTGCATCTGTTGAGCCGTCTGACAGTAACGAGAGAAACCTTGTCTCTCTCACTTCTCTCTTGGTTGTGAAGAGGTGTTGCGGTACGCTCGAAAAACTTACAAAGAATGTATGGGGCTTAGAGGGCTGGCCTTCAAAGTGCTTGCCTACTCGTCCAAGATGGCCGCTAAAACCGTCACTTCAACCAGCGGACAGCTTTTGGCGCGTCCTGCATTCACCAACAGTTTGAGATTTTCCTTTGGTGGTATATTTGCGAATGCGACCTATGGACCTGATGGCATTAGTTGGTTTCTTACATGTCTCGTTTATGTGGTATGTCAGGGATAGGCTTTTATCTAAATTAACACCAAAATCACAAACTCTCTCAGGTAGTTGAATGATGGTATTGGCAAAAGAGAGCTTCTCATTGTTCAGTGTCTCGATGAAACAGGGTGTAAATAGTATAACCTCTATCTTTTCAACATTACTTTCTAGCATGTTTTGTGTGTTCCATCACATTACATCCTCTAATAATAATAGTAATGTTTATGATTTGAAAAACACATTTTACATGTGCATATGATCAAATGATTTACAGGATCAATAGCTATATATATTTAAGTGTCATCTGCATAGAACAAGGAATTCAACTCGAGCAATTACATCTTGAAGAGGGACGATTTACAGGGTGAAAAGTACGGTCTAAGGATAGACCCTTGTGGGACACCATAACGCAGAGCACAAGGAGTGGACTCTTGATCTCCAATAACTATTGATTGCTTTAGCTGAAGTCCAACATTGAGGTTGCATTGAATGGTTGACTGCATCTTGTAGTTTGTCTCTAATGGATTGGATTTGCCTGATAAAGAATTCGTTGAAATCTTAAACCAGTACTTGCAAAGATGTGTAAGAAGGATGGGCTGAGCTGCCAGGTTAAAACAGTTTGTCTACCATTTAGAAAAGCTTGTTTCTTCCAACTTGTTCGATCTTAGATTTGTAATAGGACCATTTATGAAACTCTAGTTGCTTTTGGTATTTGTTACCTGCCTTACACATATTTCTTTGTAAACTTCCAGACCAGTTATTCTGAACAAGCGCACTGCTCTCCATTTTATGCATTAGGCTAAACAGCGATCATCATTATACCACGGTGCATGTGGTTGATGAGTTATCCACCGCAATTTCATGGGCGCGAGGTCGTTGTAGATCTCTTCCAGGATTGTGTTATATTTACTGACCAATGTAGTCAGGTCAACCTGGTCTTCACAGCTTTTCCCGATCATGTTCCATGACATCTGAGTGTTCCATTCGATTTCACATTAAGAAAAGCTCAGTTACTCAGTTTGCAAGTTCCCATTTGGGGAATATTGATGAGGTCATCTCTTGTGTAGACATAACGAGCAGATTTGCCGATTGAAACAAGTCCTGAGCCTTTCTGTGGAATAGATGGAAATGGCAAGATGAGCAAAGCTCTGTTTAGTTGAAAAGACGATGATCCAAGGTGATATGGGCCAGGATTGAGTTCGATGTCCATAAATATAGTGAGATCTTTCCTTAGAAGGAACACACACATGAAGCCATGTTTCAGCCTTGTTGTTGTGGGCCGATATGGAGTGTTCCTGGAACGTGAATTTAGTTTACCTTGGAGACCAAAAGTAGGTATTACCCAGGTGGTGGAAAAATTCAGAGTCTGATAAAAAATTAAATAGATGAATTGAGCAAGATAACATAAACTCCCAGCTTTTGAAAACATGGCCGCCATGTTGGCGTGCATAAATAAAGTAAATTATTATTAATGTAGAGACTTCTCCCTATATTTTAGATTCAATGGGATCTTTGTGTCAGTGGATCATCTCATAAACTGTTCACAGGGTGTGGCGTCAAAATTCTGTGTTGCTTGCGTAAGAAGCAAAACATTCCTCTTCCTTCTTAGGAAGCTGGAACTGACTTCATGCAAGTGTTCAGGTTCTTGTGGAACAACCAGTTGTGCACAAATCTGTCCTGTCTAGGCCTAAGCTGAGACTGTTTGTGAGCTGATGGATGCTAGTAATGGTCTCTAGCATACTTGTTGAAGTTGTACACCTCATTTTGCGTACTTTGATCATGTTATTCTTCTAAGGCCTTAAATCACTTTTCGTCTCTTCTTAGTATTTGCTTTTATGTTGTACAACGTCTAATCTGAGCAGATCTTGAGGTCTGTAACCCTCTTTAGTATATTTACAGGGAGGAATGTCGAGAGCTTGGAAAAGCTTAACAACAGCAACTGCACTAGAAAACTGCTTCTTACAGTCCCAATTTTAATATATCACTTAATCTGCAGTAAGTCATCCTCGCCTAGTCTAACATTCAGGCTTTAGCTTGGCAATAACCATGCCTGATATTCCAGAAAAGTCTTTTCCCTGTGGTCTTGAGGCTAACACTGTTTCCATCCTTGCTTAACGGCCTCTACATGGTGACACAAGCATTGTGTGAGAGTAGCGTGTCTTTTACCATTTGTTGCCAAGTTTCTGTGAAAAGATTTCTCAATTCCAGGTGGAGGCAAGTGGCCTGAAATAAGATATTGAGGCTGTATTTAAAGGCGAAAATGAAAAAAACTGAAATCTAAATAACTAAATTTTAAGAAGTACATCAAAAGTAACAAAAGACATAAAGTGATAATCTAATCTTCAATATCTCTACTCTGATTTAGCTTTGATTAGTTAATTTTGGTTTAAAATGAAAGTAAAGACTGGCATAGTCAAAAGTGCCAAGAAAGCGAGCTCTACAGTTCAGCACCACTTAGGGAAACGTTTTCCGAGGTATTTGGTCTTCTTGCCACTTTTCCTTGATTTCCAGGCAGAGGGACTAACGATAGCGTAAACAAACCCTTCTCCACACTGATATGGTAACGTCTAGTGTCAATGTCACAGTTACCTTAGTATTTTGAATAACTACCAGCTCTTCACCACCTTTTCATTAGACTTTTGATGGATGTCATTGGCATATACTATTAGAGAGAAGTGTACCCCCTTTAATTGATCCTTTCTTCTTCCACTGCCTGCTTGGTATTTGGGCTATAACAGTGAGACAAATTGGCTGTTAACCTTGCTAAGAGTGGCCTTAGTTGATAAAGTGTATCTGCCTCGGCAGATTCACAAGCTGGCATCTAAAAGTTATCCTTCAGATGTAAATATATAATTATATCCAGGAGTCTGTATCTTGGCATCACCTTTGCAAATTCAGGGATGCCTAAAACATAATAGTCTTTCCAAAGCTCTGTAAGTGATGACAAATAATGGATGCTCTTGGCAGTTATAAACCCAGAAAAAATCTCCATAAAGTCGATTCCCTCAAGAAGGTGGAATTTCTTCTCCACTTAAACTTTGTACTGCAGACCTGTTTGTTTCGCTAACAGTTTAAGTCAGCATGTAGTCGTTGACAAGGAGAAAGTAATCCTGTGGGGAAATTTAAACTCAAGAGGTGCTTGTACATCGTGTGGTGCTTCTGTCTACTACAAACCATTAAATAACAGTTATTTGGCTTCCCTGGTGCTCTTACATATCTGCCTCCTTTTTTTATCCTCAAGGATGATGTTTCTCAAATCATGTTGCTGTTATCTGGCTCCTGAAGTAGCCTTTTCCTTTTCATTCTTCAAAGCTTTTAATGTCAGAGTCAAAACCACCTTCCAGAGTAGAGGAGTTTCCAGCAAAATAATTAGGTGCTTGTTAGCCTGTGTACCCTTCAAGGTTTCTGCTCATGTTTGCAGGTGGGCTTTAAATCTTGTCTTGTCAACAAATATCTGCAATAGCACTTTATGAAAACAACTCAAACCCTGCTAAAATAGCAATTCTGTGCATGTTTTTGCAAAATTAAGTATAGGGGACTGGTAATGAATAAAGGGAAGACTGGCGATTTAAGATAATCCAGGTTATTCTGCTGCAATAATAATAATTGTAATGATGAAAGATTTTATATAGTGCTAGTATTTTGATGTTCAAATGGGCAATTCCACACGAGACAATAAACTTTTAATTTTTTGAAATAGAATTTTGCAGAATGAAACTTATACCAACAGAAACCCGAGACAATAAACTGTTTGAAACTACTGAGATCTTGTGCATCTTGTCCACGTGCTTAATTTGAAGGAAATTTTAAACAAAGTTTTAACTTCTAAGAAAATATTACAATTAATATAATAGTATGTGTTTATAACCTCTGCCTTACACTGTCAATAGGCAATAAATTATTATCTAGGTACTGGAACTTTCCTTAGAAAATACACATTGAATTTGTGTTGCAGACTTTACGTAATGTCCGCAACATTTGTTAAAAAAGCTAGATTTATTCTGAAGTAAGTTACAGCGAGGAAAATAAAGAACATGAACCAGAACAACAACGGAACTAATATATGCGGTAGATCACGTGTCATAGATAATTCATGAACAGCATTAATTATCATATGTAATCCTAACACTACGACTTGATGATTATGCTGTTCAGTAAAAGAAACATTTCGTCCAGAAAGCTGAACAACGATTATTACACAACATCATATACGCCTAATAAATCTCTCAATTTCTCAAAAGCAGGTTTTGGCAGTCCCTTTGTCATAATATCTGCCACCATGTCCTGAGTACGACAATAAATCACTCTTATCTCTTATTTCATTAGAAACAACTTTCTCTCGAACAAAATGATGACAAATGTCAATATGCTTAGTTCAGTCATGGTATTTAGCGTTCTTTGCTAGCTCAATGGCTCCTTGATTGTCTTCGTAGATGGTAGTTAGGGCATCAGTCTGTTCTCCTAAGTCCTTCATTAAACGACGTAGCCATATAGCTTCTTGAACTCAAAGCAACGTATGAGGCGGCAGCGACTATCGAGGAATACAGGACGTGTCGCGAATCGGTGGGGGACGTAATTTACGGAGAACCAAAGAACCAAACTTGAAGACGGTGATAAACGAATTTATTGTGTCGACGAGGACGGTTCGATAATGCTCGTAAACTGAAGACAACGATTACAAAATACAACTAAATATAAAGCTAAATAATCTAAAAACAAAAGGGTCACGAAGCAAAACTACTCTAAAGATATTTGGGGGC